GCACCCTCGCTGCGCCCCCTCCCCGTCCCCTGTGCCCCCGTGTCGCCCCTGCCTGCCCACCCCGCTCCGATGGCTCAGCCCCTCTCTGGGATCCACAGCCCCAGGTACCCAAACGGCACCGGGCAAGGAGCATCAGCCCCCAGCGCACACCCAGAGCGTGCCGGGGGTGACACCCACTCCTTCGGGTTCCACCGCTCCCCCGGCCTTCTGCCGAGGGCACGGGATGCTCCGGGTAGCGCAGGCGAGGGCCGGAGGTGGCACCAGGGGCTGCAGGTGGAGCGGAGCCCTGCTCAGCCCAGGCTGGCACCAGGGAGGGACGAGGCTGAGCCCTTGCCAGCCCCAGCCACCAGCTGCCAGAGGCTTTGCCAAGCTGGAAGAGCCTGGTGCCATCCCGGTGCCCGTCTGCCGAGGGCTGGTCCTGCTGCGGGGCCTGAGGGGGGGCTGTGGGCACCCACAGAGCCCCCACCCCCCCAGGAGCCCTCCTCCGGCGAGCCTCATTGTCAGGGGAACAGGCAGTGTGAAATCGGTCTGATTAGCAATTAGTCCCATTGTAAAAGGATTAGCCAGACCCATTGTTTGAGAGAGCGACTTGACTGTCAATGGGCATCTGGTGGCGACGATGAAGATGATGATGCTGCTGTGGTGGGAACCATTCCCCATGTCCTCTGTCCAGACAGGACCTCTGAAATGAGCAACGACCCCCGAGACGAGCCTCGACCACCGAGCCAGGCACCGACCCCCGAGATGGGCATCGCTGCCAGACCCAGAGGGGCCTCTGCAGAGTCCCAAGCACCTGCCCATCCCCACCCCAGCAGCATGCCCAGGTTACACCTCCAGCCTTGGGGTGCCCACGAGCGTTGGGGTACAGGGAGGGGGCTGAACATCCCTCTGCGTGCCCCGAGGAGAGCACGGTGAGGGGAAACAAGTGCGATTCGAGTGAGAACAGGCGGAGAGCCAGAGCTGGGGAGAGCAAACGAGGGGCCCCGTGGACCCACTCCATCCCTGTCACATCCCCTGCACCCCTCTGCTGTCCCTACCACTGTCCCTGGGCTACCACCAGTCCCCGCTGTCCCCACAGCACCAAGGGTTTTCCAAGCAAACCCAGCTGCTCGCCACACATCCCACACCTCGCAGCCCTGCTCTCAGAGACCCCCACGGCCAGGGTATGTTGGGGGCTGTCTGTCTGCCCAGGCTGCCGGTCCATCCAGCTAATGAGCCCCTTCGTTACCTGGTGGCGATTCTCACACTGTTGACAGGAGGAAGCAGGGACAGGGACAACAAGACTAACAAGAGCTCTGCCGGCTGCTCTCTGGCAGCACAAGGACGGCTCCAGGGGTTAATTGATGCTTATTCACTTCTTGCACACAAAAATTGCCACTGTTGGAGGAAATGCTCCGGAGGGCAGAGGCTGCCGACAGCCTCGACAGGGCTCCATCCCTGGGGACGCTGTACAGAGTGGGTGGTGGCACGGGACATTC